TTTCCTCTACATTATCTATTTACAATACTTCGTCCCTAAAATCCCTTTTCCAACCATATTAACCAAAAACCTAATGCCCCCTATTCCGTCGTTCTACCCGAAGTAACTAAAGCAATAAAAGTAAGAAAAGTAAGATTTCTCTTACTTTTCATGTGACCAGTTACTCGGGTAGGCGATGGGACATAATTTTGACAATCAGTTACGTGAGACTGTGACCGATTTTGGGGCTCACATTTCTTTCTCATTTGGCGTCGAGTTCCTCGAGACGTCATCTAATAATCGGCAGAAGTCAGAGGCCATCAACTTCCGTATATCTCCAAAGGCCAAATTCTCTGTCCAATAAATTTGTTCCAGACCATACTTAAGGAAGATATCGTAGACCCGAACGGAGGTGGTAAGGAAATGTTGGGTCACCATTTCCCAGAACTATCGTTTATTGAGCCGAGTTCCACTTGTATATAACATGTCTAAATAATATACGTGTAGTAGAGTGTCATGGTTGTTGCGGAGTCTAAGGGCCCTACTCAGGTGAGTATGTGCAAGCGTCATGCAGACAGTAAAGTTATCGGTTAATTCAAAGGGCGGGGCACAATCGTAACGTCGGACGGTCAGTGTCGATGCAGTTCGCACATGATTTTATTCCACATGATTGGCATGATTTATTCTTTAATCGGGTTTAGCGTCCGTCTTCAGCAACCTTCAGCTCTTTTTATTCCTTTTGGTCATTTGATAATTCTTTCCCTCTTCGCTTTTCATTCCCCATTGCCTTCTCTCTTTCAGCCTTTTTCCTCCTTTTAATTACAAATTCCAGAATCTCATCTTTGTATTATTGTTATCATCAATGTTTGATCATGTTCATCTCCCATTGTCTTGCCTCTTTTGGCTCTTTCCTCCTTTGTAATTAAAAATTCTGTCAATATTATTATTATTATTATATATATATATATATATTTTTTTTTTTTTTTTTTTTTTTTTTGTAGTTTGTAGTTTAATCGCTTTACTAATTGCCAGGTTGGTTTTTCAGGAGATACACTGATCGATGTACGGTTTTAGCAATTTGATGTTGATCGTCACCAATAGAACCTTTCCTTGCAGAGATCATAGCCTGTTCACATTCATGCATATAACCTTGTGGATGTAGAACGGTCCCTTCCATTTTGGGGCTAGCTTCACACTTCGATTATACTCCTTCAACGCTTCGTACATCCACACCTTGTCTCCTATAAATAACTCAAGGGGTGGCCTGATCTTTCTATCATATGCTTTCTTTTGTTTTTGTTGCACCTGCTGAACTTGCACAACGGCACTGTGTCGAATTATCGGTAGGGTTTCTAGTAACCAGAACATTCTTTGTATCACCGTTCCCTCTAACAATTCTTCTCCATAATCGATTGGTTGTCGAGTCTCTTGACTATGCATTAGGTAGAATGGTGTAACTTTCATGGTCGAATGTTTTGCAGTATGGTAAGCAAAGAGTACTGCCAGAATAACCAGGTCCCAGTCCTCAACTTTATCATTGATCGGGTGATGGATTCGCAGAGTATTGTGTTAAACCATTCAACTAGACTATTCATTTGGGGGTGATAGGAGGTGGACAGTAGATGTTTAATCCTAAATTTTCTTAGCAACTTGTCCACCAGTTGATTATGGAAGTGGGTCCCTCGATCTGACAATAATTTTTCAGGACACCCATGATGACACACGATCTTGTCGAAGATGAAATCGGCTACGGTTTTTGCATCGGCTGCTTCGATTGCTTTCACCTCAGGCCACTTCATCATGTAGTCAGTGGCTACAACAATGTATCTTTTTAAGCGGGGTGTGATTGGGAGAGGTCCCACAATATCGATTCCCACTTGGTAAAATGGGGTGGTTACAGCAATTGGATGCAATGGGCTACTGAATTTGTTTCTCCCTCATTTTTGGCATTGCACACAGGACTTCACATATTGTCATATATATTCAAATGCCTAGAGCCAGTAATATGTCTTGTGCATCTTCTCGAACATCGTATCAGCTCCAAGATGACCTCCCAAAGGATGATCGTGCAGCAACAGTAGTATCGGGTTGATTTTGGGTTTCTGAACTACTCACAGGGGATGTATTAGTTGATGTTTACTTTTCTTGTAGATTATTCCATCCTTTAACAGAAACATCTTGCTGTTATTGACTAACTGTCATTTCTTTTTCTTATCTAGGTCTTGCGGGATGATTTGGTTTTGTAGGTATCTTCTTAACTGATCATATCGGGCGGGTTCCATTTTACTCTATCACCAGGGCACTGACAACCTGGGTTGGATTGGGCTTATTGTCAGGTTTAAGTATTCTTTTCTTTTCCTTTCGTTTTCCTAGTCAACCTTCTCTTTGGGAAGTTATCTTACTAATTTTGGCATCAATTCAATTGGAGCCCCACAATCCCTCCAATGCATCCTAACCTTCCTTAGATTCGTTAGTTTGTGACACACAAGTTATAAATTCTATTTAAGAGGCAGTATCTTCTTTTTCTATGGCCTTATGATTCTTTACTTCATTAGGAGTACTATTGTTTTCCTTTCGATTATCAACAATCTGTATCGCTGATTTATGACAGTTTCCCGAAGAATCGCGATGTCTTTTCTTTAATCAGCCGTATTTCACTAAAGACATCCTGTGAATTCGATGACCTACTTGCAAATGTGATTCTATATTATATTATTTTGACTAATTCCTATTCTATATTTATATCCATTCTTAACTATTTTTTTTTTTTTTTTTTTTTGGGTCTATTTATATTGTTCCTTCGTTATGCTCCTCTGGGTCTTTTGAGTGACCTCGGTCTTATCTATTGACTGTGGTCAATGGTTCATTTTCGTCAACATCGTGCCATGGTTACAAATGTCCTCGAGATGGCTGCGGGCATGGACATCCCTTATGTGCTCGATCGCATGTCGTTTGTGTTCATCTTCCAATGCTATTTCATCTTCCGTCATAGAACAGGAGTTCTCGTCTTTCTTATCCTTTGTGGAAGTTCCGTCTACATTATGGGTTTCCAGAGCGATCGATTCCAGAATCACCTTATATCTAACTTCCTTTTCATAGGGTTCACCAACATATTTCTTATCGTCATATGGGTCGAGTTTCTCATTGGCCAGAATGGGGTTTGGAGTTGATTCTTCATCCCTCAGCTCTTTGAGTTCCATCTTATTCCACGGGATAGCAAGAAAGGCCTCAACTTCTTCTTCTTCATACCACCCATTTCTTGTGACATGGTCATCTGTGGTAGGGGTAAGAAATCCTTCTTCAGGCTCAATTTCGAAGTTGTCGTCTACCATGTATACCTCTTCTATAACCCGTTAGTCTTTGCTCCTTGAAGGTTCAGTGAGGCAGTTATAAGGGTCTTTTTCACTTTCGGGTTCAGCCAGGATGTTTTCCAGCAAGTACAAGCACTCTCTTTCCTTTATCCCATATTCTTCTTCCTCTGTTAGGTCCCACCAGACTTCCTCAGCTCCAAGGTGGTAGTTATGCGAATACCCATAGTCGTACATTTCGTCTTCTGATTCTTCTTTGTAATCATTCCAATTTCCGCCTACTTGTCCTTCTGCCAACGTCGTATAGGTTTCTTCCTTCATTTCGAGTCCTTCATCCCATTCATCTGGTGGTCGCTCTTCGATAAGTGTCTTACTGTTTTTCTTTGATTCGTCTCCTTTCAGGCTAAAGCTTTTCTTCCCTTCTTCTTTTTTAGGTTCTTTCGTCATGCCAGATTCGAGGTCTTGGTTCCAGGTTGGATCCTCTTGGTTGGGTTCAACTCTTCTTAATAGTGCATCAGTGTTGGAGTGTACTCTACTTGCCCGGTGTTCGATCGTGTAGTTGTAGAGTTGCAAATGTAGGATCCACCGGGCTCTTCTACCTTTTAACTTTGATGTCTGCAGCCATTTTAAAGCCGAGTGGTCCGTTACCACTACAAATGGCCTAAATCTGAAATAGTGATGATAGTACTCTATAGCCCAGAGTACTGCAAGGCATTCTGATTCGGTTGCCAAATAGTTTCATTCAGCCTTAGAGAGACTTCAACTCATGTAGGAGATAACGTGTTCTTTATTTCCTTTGCCCTTTTGTGCTAAAACTGTACCAAGTTCAGTTCCGGAAGTGTCGGTATAGAGGTAAAATGTCTTGTCGAAATTGGGATACTTGAGTATGGGTGCCGAAATTAAGTATTCCTTTAATTTTTCGAATGCGTCCTGTTGCGGATTTCCCCACTTGTAACTAACACACTTCTGTAATAGGTAATGTAGGGGTTTGACGATTGTGGCGAATCCTGGGATAAACCGTCGGTAGTATGAGGCTAAGCCGATGAAGTCTCTCAACTGTCGAAGGGTTCGAGATACAGGAAACTTCTTAACTTTTTCCACTTTTGCCTCATCGGGTCTAATTCCGTTGTGGCCAACCACATGTCCCAAGAAGTAGATATCTGGTTTAAAGAAGTCGCATTTTTTGATATTCATTTTTAACCCAGCCTTATCTAATTTTTTGAATACCTCTTGTAGATGTGCCAGATGCTCGTCAAATGTCTTCGAATATACGTTGATGTCATCAAGGTAGACGACAATGAATTTTCCTATGCAGTCTTACAACACCTCGTCCATAAGGCACTGGAACGTAGCTGGAGAATTACAAAGACTGAACGGCATTACATTAAATTCGAAGAGACCACTTCGGGTGATAAATGCTGTCTTTTTTTGATCTTCTGCATTCATTCTAACTTGCCAATATCCACTCTTTAGGTCTAAGCTCGAAAACCAGTTGGCAGTCCTAAAGGTTTCTAGTAGATCGTCAATCCAGGGCAACAGATAAGTGTCCTTCGTTGTTAGGGCATTTAGTTTAAGGTAATCTACGCATAGTCATAATTTTCCACCTTTTTTGGGTACGACTACTACCGGGAATGCCCACAGGCTATTGGACCTCTGAATAAGCCCCCGTTCTTCATTTTTTCTAATTCTCTTTCTACAAACTCCTGTTCATTCAGGCTGATTCGGTAAGCACATTGCTTAATCAGTCTAGTGTCAGCGGTGTCAATTCATTAGGTAATTATATTCATTTCATCCAATTCTTGTATGTCCTTTGCAAACAATGGTTTCTCTTTCCTAAAAAATTCTAATGCCTTATCCTTTTCTTTTTCCTCTAGAGTGTCGGTTTGTATGAATTTCTCCAATTGCTCAATTACAGTTGATTCGTCTTGTACCTCAGTGGGTAGTTCGTCGATATTCATCAGGTAAATGGCAGAGCTAGTCTCATCCTCCTACGGGTTATGGTAAAGTCCATTTTCTTCATCCGATACTTCTTCCGTATAGTATCCCTCTGTCTCGTTTAGCTCTTCATCCTTGTAAGTAAGTCCATCGAACGTATTTCTGCTGTTGCTATCCCAAGGGTCTTTCTCCTGCGGCTTTTCTAACTTTACTTCCCCATTGTTTGATATAGGAACCTCGATCATCTTTCCCTTGTACTTCAAGAACAATTATTGCTTGTCAAAGTGGATCCTTGCTTGGGCCTTCTGGAACTAGTCCATTCCCAAAAGTAGAGTTTCGTCAGATGATTCGATCACCTGGAAAGTGCTAGGTAAGATAGTGTCTCTAATCAATAATTTGAGGTCATTAATCTGTCCTAATGCTCTTGTTCTTGTGTCAGTTGCTATGACTACTACTGTGGTCAAGGGTTGGTCGATCTTCAAATGAAGCTTGTCCAAGAGTTTCTTGGTCATTATGCTTACAGCAGCACCAGAGTCTAATACAGCCTTTACGGGGTTTCCCTTGATTCAGATGTAACAATATGTGGCTGTCGTTTGTTGGGTTCCTCCAAAATTTACTACTCTAGTTTCCTGGATAGCGATGAGTCTTCAAAGTGCTTGTGCCAAATTCCATCGTTGGTTTGGGTATTGGAGCATCTGCCCATAGGTAACATGGACGGGTGGGTTCAACAGGTTCTTAGTGATATTGTATGGGGTCAGTTTATCGACTATGGAGGGTTCTCGTCTTCTGCGAGGTTTTTTAATTTAGTTGAAATTCATCTTCTTCTATTAGGTCAGGGTGTCATCTAAGTCTACTAGAGTTGGTTCTTTGTCTTGACGTTGTCTTAGTCAGTTTTCCCACTTTGATTCTGCTTGTAACCTCGGCCTTTTTTCGGGTTCATGAGCTCAGAATTGGGGCTTCCTTTTCTCCAGATTATATAGTTCATCTTCACCTTGAACTATATAATTCATTCTTCTAACCTAGGGTGGTCTTCTTATTTCTCTATTTGGGCAGGATGATCGTCTTTCGGACTGACAATACCTAGCGATATGCACCATTTCTCTACAGCCATAGCATACGATTTCTCTCCTCGGTTCTTGGTAGTTATCGCAGCATCTCTCTGGTTCAGGTATGTCTTTCTCTTTCCTATCGTTCAGTGCAATGTAATTCACTGACAATTGTTGTACTTGTTTAACTAGGGCTTCGATTAGTTTATTCTTTTTATTGGGGAAAGGCGTAGTTTCAGGTGTATGGGTGCCATAATAATTGCTAGCTTCCACTTTCCTTGCTGCGATTATGGCTTTGTTTAAGTTTTTGGACAACGTTATGTCTACAAACATGGCAGTTTTTCCTTTCAGTCCTCCAAGAAACATGCGTACAATGTAAGATTCAGGTAAGGGGTCGACTCAACTTAGCAGCTTCTTGAACTTGGTCGCATAGGCGTCAACTTTTTCGCTTTTGCCTTGGGTTAAGGTATTGAGTTCCAGCTGCCATTTGTGTTGTTTTTCGGGGGTGGTGAAGAACATTACTAATAATAGGTGAAAGCTATTTTCTTCTTCTTCAGCATTCTTCCAATAGGTTATTCCATCCCGGTTATCCTTATACCATTCTGCAGCCATGCCTCATAAGTATCCTGAAGCAATTTGCAACTTCTATTAGTTTTTCAGTTGTTTGCTTTTGTGACTCGTTCGAAAGCTTAGAGCCATTCAATGGGATCATTGTTGTCATTTCCACTAAAGGTCCTTACTTTAACGAGGTTGGTTTCCTTGGTGTTGGGCCTATTCCCATCAATAATGTTTCTGGCAGCATATTCGAACGAGTGGGTCATATTGTCAATGAGTTTTTTAAGCTAGTTGTTATTCATGATTTCTGCCTTTACTTTTCTAAGAATTTGTTCCAGCATTCCTTCTTATATAAATCTAATCTGTCTATTCTAATTAATAAGGGTGTTTAATAAGTCTCCTGCTTCCTTATTAGTCTTAAATTGATTTCTTTAAAATTTTTAAATCGGGAGGAAGAGGGGGAGGGTAGCGAACGTTTTTATTAATTTTCGTATCTTACAGTCACCACCAAATGTTGCACATCAAATTGGCGATTCAGTTGCTACTCTAATCCAATTCTCGCATAACCTACGGCGGCTAAGTCGAAATAGGCGTGTTAGATTTGGCTGGGTGGTTTATCCGTAGGTAAGTACT